AGTGTTCAGCTGGCGAGCAAAGTTGTGGTCCACGTTTTATGGTCTTTCATCTTGTATTATGGGTGTCAGTTCAGTTCAATAGACATTTGAGTACCTATTGTGTCAATTCTGTAACTTTAATTTGTATCGTATCTAAAACATCCAGTGGTCCTTTCTTGTAATTATTATGACCCAAGAAGGCAGAACCTCCGTACTATACTGGAAAAGCACCACGATCAGAGAGCCAGGGGAGTTCTGTTTAAATGGGCTATGCCCTTAACTCGCTGTGTCACTCTGGACAAGTCATTTACCCCTTAGCCCTCGGAATTCTCCTTTTTAAAGTGAAAGGGCAGAGAGAGTTGGTTTACATGAATGCTAAGGTCTCCAGCGCTTTCATCTCAAGAAGAATCATATAGCCACTGCTAAAGTAAAGAAGTTGAGAGACAGTAATTCATGCGTGTGATGCGCTCTGTCGCCCTAACCCTTTCCAACAGACAGTGGCAGAAATGGTTCTCTCCAGTATTGCGATTAATGATGACTAACTATGCAGACCTCTGAACACACCTACACAAATAACATCTATTTTAAAGAAACGCTCTCTAGTTGTTTCAGAGAACAGGGTGCTTACTCAAGGTGACTTTCCGTCACTCATCTGGGGTGATCCCTCAAGTGCTGCCCATACGCCCTTTGCCCTTTGGGGTCATCAAGCCTTCCCACGGCTCCGGCTCAGCCAATGGAGAGCCAACCGAGTGACCGCTCCCCATGCTGTTTACAAACCCTGAGTCTCCCTGCCCTTACTCTCTGCTGTCCCAAGCTTGCCCTTTCTCCCACTAAAGCCTCCTCCTTTTTGAAGGCTCAGCTCCTGTGCCACCTCCTCCAGGAAGCTTACTTAATCTCTTCTTTCTTTACACTTCTGTGGCAAGGAATGTTATTTATCTCTTCTTCTTACATTAACTTTCTACCTTGCACTGCATTTATTTAAAAACATGTTTATCTCCCTCACTAGACTGTAAGCTCCTAGGTAGCACCTTCCCTTATTTTTATCAAGTCTAAAATGTCCAGCCTGGTGTCTTTTATAAAGTAAAAGCCTCACGCATTTGCGGACTGCTTCTGGCCCTCCCTTGTGGTCCATATCACAATTTCTTTGACAGGGGGCCTTTGGGAAGGTTCTATTTATTTCTGTTTTTAGACAATGGGTTGATGGAATTTCTCTTGAAGTAACTCTGAATCCACGTTACTAAATTGTGTTTTTAGTTGGATTTTTCAGTGCAAATTCAGCATCATAGCTTTGCAAAGACGTGAAGAGAATTTCTCCGGCCACAGGCCTGGTGCCCTTTTGGTCTGATCCACTTTAAAGAGGATGAGACAGCACTTTGTCTAACTGAGACTGCGACAGCCCTTGAGTTAAATGATCGTCTTTGGGCCCCATTAGCTCCTTCCCCTTGAAAAGTGTCATAAACAGAGCCACACACACACATTTTGTTTACCTTTTGATGTTGGTCAAGAATATTTTGGATTTGGATAGAACCATCACTTATTTTAAATGTGAAAGCAGATCTATGTGTCTTTCAGTATAGGCCTTCTCTTCCTCCTCTTCCTCCTCTTCCTCCTCCTCCTCCTCCTCCTCCTCTCTTTTTTCCCCCCGAATATCTCAGTTTTGTATGGAGACCAACTGGGAGCTATAGACCACTCACTTGAAGGGCTGGCAGCAGTGGGTTCTGATGAACCCTTTGGGGCGAAGGGTGCTGTTTCAGGAGTAGAGCTCGTTTGCCTGGAAAACAGCAAGGGAAATTACTAGCAGCGGCTGATGAGAACAAACAGGAAGACAGACAGCTTTGCCAAAGGCTTCTATACCTCTTCCCCATTCGTTCGTAAACTTCCAGGCAGATGAAAATGTTTTCCAGGTGGTTTTTGGATTTGTACCTACAGGGAGAGTTCCAGCACCCCCCAAGGCACCACACTCCGGGATAGAGAAATACCACACACACCCAGATTCCATTGTAAAACATTCTATCCTGGGATCCCTTGAGGATGTGTGGCTAGTACCAGGGAAGGCATACCAGAATAGGACATGTGCACCCTTCAGATGTCTTGCCATTCCATAATATGCGTTCATTCCAATCTACTGCTGAAGTCTAGGGCGATAGGAGGTCTCCCAGCCTCCCCACGATTCAGTTTCCTTCATTAAGTCACTGTTAACGTCTTTATCTGAAAACCCCATGCAGAGAGAATCTTTTTAGAGGAGATAGTGGTTTCGACAGATTGTAGTTACCTGTAGTAATAAAGTTTTTATTTTATTTTTTAATCAGTCTCTATGGATTGGGAGGTAAGGCTGGGTTTAGAGATTTTT